ATTATGTGAGGACTTTTGGAGTCTGATAAGGTATTTTTAAGAGCATAGAGTGGCTGAGAGACTTGTCTAAAGTTATTTAGCTAGTAAACAGCAGCTGGGTCTGAATCACAATTCTAGCTGCCGAAGAGCAAGCATTTCCTTACTGTACTATACTCTCTAATTGTAAATCTACCCTGGCTTTGAAACTTTTGGGGGCAATGTTGTTTAGTGCACTCTGCACTCCAGTAAAGATCCACATTGTTAGGCATCTTCTCACCCAAATTCTAGCAGGCAGTCCATGTTGCCATATCCAAATAGTCAGCCAGGAGAACAGGGTGCTGTGTGGTACATGGCAGTGTGATACAGCAGGTGCAACCATAGTGATCACAGAGGTCACCCATTCTATCGATCACGTCTTTGGGGAAATCTTGGCTGAGAATGCCAAGTTTAAATGGTTACTGGTAATTCTGAGCATGGTGTTGTTGACTTTTAGTACACTTCCCCTTTCATAATATGTGGGTGAAGTTCACAGAGCTGTTCTGTTGTAAGAGAAGCAGAGACATTGTAGAAACACTACCTCTCAGGCCCCCAGCTATAGAATCGTTGTGCGGTTCTCCACAAAGCCCAGAGCTTCTGTCCAGGCATTTGGAGAGAAATGTACATTGTTGATGGAAACTACTTAAACCCATGTTCCTGCTGTTGTATACTTCAAAATGGATGGCTTCAGCTTAATTTTCTGCTCTTTCTGGAAGTAGGAGGAGAAAGATGGATGTATGCCTTTTAGAAGTGAAGGACTAAAGGTTATATGCCAGTTCTTATCAGCTAAATGAGGCTGTGGAGGCTGCACTAGAAGTTGTGACTTAACCTTCTTGCTTAGAAAGATAAATATCTGACTTTTTTCTTTTTTTTTTTTTTTTTAAATGAAGTACAGCTGCAATTTCTGTTGTTGGAAAAGGAAATCCATCTCAAATAATTTAGATGCTAAACTATTGACCTTCTATGTGGGAAAGACCTTTAAGTGATAGCTCCTGTGCCAAATTGGTTTTGTTTACTGTAAATGAAACATTTCTTTTATGAGTGGGTGATGGAACACACAGACCCACAGTATTGAGAACTTTGCTGTTCTTGTACCTTGGCCCAATTCTGGAGGCACAACGCCCAGAAAGTCACTGAAATATCTTGTATTTTGGGGAGGGAAAGAAATTATATAAGTAACCTCAGATCAGTTGTCCTTCAACTCTTTTTACTACTAAATCTGGAGTTGTCAGTTGATACATCGCTTTCTATTACTTGATGAAACGTTTTGCCTGAGGAACTTGAGAGATTTGTATATGTTTGAGCAAATGATAAAATCAATATACTAATGGTATTTTGAGAAATAATGCTGTTAGTCTGTTGAAGAAGATGGAGGTGGGGAGGGCATTCCAGATGGAGTGGACTGTATGCAAAACAGAGGGGAAAGAGAACATAGGGAGATTATGCGTCATCCCAAACAGTTTGGTGTGGAGAAGGGAGAGGAGGGTGAGTAGCAGAAGTTGAAGGATGGTGATCTTTCAGGCAAATGAAGAAGGAAGGACGGGGCTGTAGAAAGCCCAGAACTTAGCCTGGCATAGAACTACATAACT